TACGTTCTTGTCGCCTCGGCTGAAGTCGCAGTTGCGTTTGGTTGAGCTCCTAACTTTTTTATGCTGTTTTTAAAAAACGTATTTTACTTTAAAATTGCACGTGCTAGTTGTTTAATTTTCAACTGTTTCTAAAAATCCATGCAAATTGAGCTTTTTCGGTTGCCGTATATTTCAGGTTCACATTAAATAAACAATGTTTTCTGCTATTTTTGAAAAATAATTATAAATAGACAGATTAGATTTGTTATTCTTAAAGGCAACACGGATATGAAATGAGGACCGTAGTTTTTTTTTTCCTAAGGTGTTTACAGGTTTGGTTCTGATTTCTTTTCCATGGCCAGTACCCATGTCAAATGGCGAAGTAAGCCGTACTAAATCCGCATCTGCGGGCAACAAAACACCAGCAGCCCCGCTGATTAATGATGCAGGCTTTTGCAACCTTATTTATTTTTAACCCGTTGGAAATTTATATTTCATGCGCCTCAAGTATTTATGGTGTATTGGTTTACAAGGCTGCTCGGCCAGTCGCCCAAAGCTTTGTCGCTTTACAGTTTGGAGAAAAAAAACAGCTGGGCGATCGAAATAAGAAAAAATAATAATAGGTCGTTGAAATTTCCCATCGCAGGGTCAGCGGGTTTTTTTTTATTTTTCACGGCGGTCGCGGAGCCCCCGGCCGGCCCTCTCCCGGCTGCTTCCCCGGGAAACGGAGCCTCCTGCCCGGGGAGCTGTGGGGGTGTAGAGCCGCTCTCACACCGCCCCACCGAACCGTAAAAATAAGTTAAAGCCGCGTATTCGGCTCTGTGTTCGGAAAACAACCGGAGCAGGTCGTCCGCTCTGACCCGAAACGCGCTGATATCCAGCCTGTAGTTTTTCAAGCGTTTTTCCAAACTGCGTCATTGCACGTATGGGCCGCCTTTTTAGCTGGAAAAACACAGGAGAAATCCAAAAAAACTATCAGTTTTCAACATTGTTGTTTTTGCCGTCGGGGTTGTGCGTCAAGTCAAGCCTGTCTTGTTGTGTTTTATAGGTCAGCAGTATGGCTGAAAAGGAGTCCGAATCGCCTGGGAAACTAAAGACATTATTATAGCCAGAACTGGCTTCTCCGGAACAAGGGGAGCGTATCCGAAAAAGGACGGTTTCTTTGAACAACTTCCCCCTCTGCGGATAATGGATGGCAGAGATTTTGGCCACCCCCGATCCGTCCACGTTCCACCGCCGCTGCTGGCGGGGCTCGCCATGGAGTCCCACCGGCTCGGAGCCGCTGCGGCCGGGAGGATCCCTCCCTCGCCCGGCCACTTGGGCGCGAGCCATCCGCCGTCTCTCCACTCTGGGAAATTTTTGCCCTCGGCCATTAACCTACATCCACATCATAGTAAGTGCACAGCGTTTTTTTTATTACTTACATTCTGCTCCACGGCAGCCCCCCCGCGAAATTCCTCTTAGAAAAGATGAATAACTTTAAATTAATGCGCTAAATCAAAATGCGCAGTTTGTGGCTGTGCGTGCGTGGCGGTGTCTTGGATGCATGGTTTTTAGATATGTTGATTTCTTATTGATAAATGGGTGTTTTTATGTTTTTTTTTTTTTGGGGGGGTTCTGTTGGCTGCGAAATAGTTCCACTTGCGAGTGGATCGCGTAAAGGGCTGTCTCTGGCAGTGGGCACGCATTAGTGGAAAATTACGTGTCATTTTCCAGCGTCCGGCGGTGAGGCTCGGACCTGTCCGGCAGGGCTGTGGTGCGGGTGTCATGCGGCAGGGCGCGGGGCTCTCCGTGGATGTGTGTGTGTGCGCCGTCAGCGCTGAATGCAGTTTGGGTTAAGCCTGCGTGTTTATTTGTCAGAGTGGGAACGGTGGAGTTGTGACCTTAAGAGGGATGACGGAGGGCTGTTTACCCTGCTGAGAGGGATCGCTGCGAGTGTTTGTGTAAGCGAGGAACGATGGTGGTTCCGTATTTGGAGTAAAATCCATTCTGCCGGCTCATTTGTCAAGCGCTGGACGCGTGTTTTTCCATGCGTTCAGTCCAGTTTCTGCCCGACACTCTTCTCTGCTACTTTCGTTACACAGAGGGGGGGGGGG